AAAAAAGTCAATCACCGTGAAGATGGGTAGAAGAAGGAGAATGATAGGAAAGATGCTCAGAAGGAAAGCATGATGTTAACGCTTTGTGTGGGGAGTTCTGTGCACCTGCAAGGGACTGGAAGGCACTTGGGCCATGATGTTTAGGCACAGAGTCATACTAACCAGTCTCATAGAGTTTGATGTATAAACCAGACACCAAGGCGAGAATATGCTGTGAATCAGTAACTGCCCAGAAGGCTACTTTGTGCAAAAGCTTGGTCTCCAAGCTTTTGCTTTGGGAAAATTAAGCTGGGTAACCTTAAGCAAGTCCCATAAACCTCTCTGAGCTTTACTTTCTCACCTATCAAATGGAAGCGTCAGCTCATAGGTTGCGGTGATGATGTTGGGGTGGCAGAGGACTGGCTAGGGCAGGGCCTTAAAAGCACAAGAGCCAGAGGACACTCACCCTGGGGATGAGCCAGCCAAACTCGTGACTGTGGACACCCACGAGGAAGGGCACAGAGTGGAAGTGCCTGTCCCTCAAGAGTTCCATGGGGCTCTTGGGAAAGAAGGTGCCATCAACAGTGTAGGAAGCCGTAGTGTTCTGCAGGAGAAAGCAAGGCACGGGTCTTCCCAGTCAGGCCCATGCCTTAAAAGATGGCATGCGGGGGTCCCCCGGCTGCGTGCCTGGGTGGCTGAGCCTTAGAGGGGATAGAGGTCACCAGGGTTGGAGGACCAGGAGCAATAGGGAGACCAGGCAATGGATACTTCCAAGCAGACCTCTTTCCTAGAAGAGCTGGCCCTGCATTCATGCTCCCAGGCCTGCTTGGGCCCTCCATCCCTTCCCCTCAGGGGTGGCTGCCCCAGCGCTCACCCCAGACTGCTGATTGCTTCTCTGCTCCCACAGGAGCTGGACGGACCCCTCTGCACCATTGCCTGCCACCGCCCCCCGAGAGGTAGGCATACCAACTTCATGTTAAGGATCTGCTCTTTGCCGTCTGCCGAAGGCACTGAAACATCTCAGCCGAAGAGGCAGAGCTGCAGCCCAGGGAGTCTGCGAAGCTCTGGGGACAGACAAGAGCCTGGCCTCTCCCTCACCCATCCACCCCCACCTTCCAGCCCTCTGCCTCCCACACACAATGGGTGTATCTGTGGGAAAGACGGGGCAGTGATGTCAGAGATGGGGCCTCGGGACTGGCCAGAGACCTGCCGCCAACCCTGAGAAGGCTTCTTTGCCCACAGCTTGGGTGGTCCCCAGGCACCCCGTGTGTCCCCCATTACATCATACCGTCATTATTTGTGCGGGTAGTGGAGTCCCCTTTACCCCTCTGAGAACAGTGTCATTATCTAGTTAACCATATTCCCAGAGCCAGCGGGCTCAGTCAAGTTCCGCAGAGTGAGTTAAGGAAATGAGACAGGGTTCAGAGAGGAGGGATTCCAGCACGGCCAGTGTGGCGGGGAGGGGACGACAGGGGCTGCCGAGGCCTGAGCCAGGCTGGGGAGTCAGCTCCCTACTGGTGACACCCTCTGGGACTTCAGGGCAAGCAAAGGGTGGGCTGTGGCCGGCGCACGTGGGGTGAGAGAGGCAAAGAAATGCAGACCAGAGCCAGGACCCTCGGGTTAGGATCCATTAACGTTGGCATGGTGACGATCCCACTCTGAGCTATGGCCCTGTAGAAGAGCCCTGCAGCCAGCGGGGACAGGACCTGGGTGCCGTGTTGAGGACAGGGGGCTGTCCGGGGAGGGCAGAAATGCTGGGCGGTCTGGGGCCACGGGAGATACTCTTGCCAGCCTGTGGAGACTCACCAGGGCAGAGACGATGCAGGTGCCAGCCGAAGCACCTAAGATGGTGACAGAGTTGAGGTCACCTCCAAAGGGGGAGATGTTCCCCTGCACGCAGTTCAAAGCAGCCACCGCATCTAGGAAGCCCCAGTTGCCAGGCGCATGCTCATCCCCAGTGCTAGGGGGCAGGGGTAGGCAGTGGTTAGCGGAGGCGGCGGGGCTTTTCCTCAGCCTTTGCCGATTTGCTCCGAACCAGCCGCCGGGCCGGCAGACCCTTCCCCTTTCCCCAGGTCTGGCCTGGCTGTGAGGCATGCTCCGTAGCCCCCTGCCCAGCACGTGGTGTGGGGTGCCTAGCTGGGGGGCCAGCCAGAGCTTAGTGCTCCTTGCCCCCGCCCCTTGCTGGGATCCAGGCCCCAGACCAGCAGTCAACAGTTCCTGTCCAAAGGACCAAGTTCTCTGTATGCTTCTGGCTTCGGGAGAGCCCCTTCCCCAGAGGGGAGCGATGGGGAGCCTCCTTCTCTGCCCCGGACGGCATTCGGGAAGGGTCCTTTGCTCTCCAGCCACCCTGCTTGCCTGAGAAATCTGCATTCAAGCTCTGGATCCCTACCCTAGTTCCCCAATTGCCCTCACAAGCTGGCCTCTCCCAGTGCCAGCAAAGCCCTACCCCAGGCTGGCCACCTCACCTGAGGAAGCCAAGGAACCCCAGGCGGTACTGGACGGTGACCACTACCACATCTCCGTAGGCAGCGAGGGCTGACCCGTCTTGGCAGGTGGCAGCACCCGCCACCAGAGTGCCTCCATGGATCCACAGCATGACCTGCAGAGAGGCCATGGGGCAGTGACCCCCAGCTCCTGGGACACCAGCTGCCCTCCCATCAACCCAGGGTATTCTTGGGACCCCTGAGGCAGTATGAGAACGGGGCTGGGGAGGGGACAGGCCAGGCAGAGCCGGATGTGCAGACAGGACCCTCAGAGCTGCACACCGGCCGCCTGGCCCCTGCAGGGGCCTTAGCGGGGCTGTAGCTGTTGAGGATCAGGCAGTCCTCTGAAACAGGTGCTTTCCATTCAACACAGATCTGCTGTTGTCCATTCTCTCCAGATCCTGCAGACACCTGTGGCTGGGGATGTGCCCAAGGGCCAGGGGGTCAGCCCATCAGCCCCGCCATCTAGATCCCTGCAACCTACCAGCTTGTCCACCTCCAAGGGGCTACTCACATCGCAGGGGCATTGCTGGTATCCCCCACAGCCTCCCAGGACTGCGCTGGGCGCGCGGCTGAGAATCGGCCAGGCCCCAGAGGTGCCTGCGCGAACGGGAGGCCCAGGAAGACATTCACCAGGTGGTCTGTGCCCCTCATGGCCACCTGCCGGCCTCGCACGCGGCCCAGGGGGGTGTCCACTGCAGGCTGTGTGACCTCAGGCCCTGCGGGCAGGACAGAGGGCCAGCGAATGAGTTTGCAGCCTCCACAGGTGATGGTGGGGGGCCGGGCAAATGGACTCACTACACAGTGGTTCTTGGAGCACCTACTCTGTGAGCCCTGTTCTGAGCACTTTGCACACAGCACCGTGACTAACCTTCCCAGCAAGCCCGGGAGATGGGCCCTATGATGACCCCCCACTTTGCTCCCCCCTCGCAGGTCTGCCACTCTCCTCTAGGCCAAACCAATCCCCTGAGGGTGAACTAGGTTCTCCTGGGACCCACAGACCTGTCGTGGGGCTTTGGGCCTTGGGCTAGCCATTCACCCTCAGATTTCTCATCTGCTAAATTAAGTGTAATAACCATGTCTTTTCGTTTTCTTTATTTTGACACCTTGCAGACTGGAGGGACTGCGGGTTCCAGGGCTGGCCAGTCCTCAGAGATAGTAAACAACTCACTGAAAGGTGTCTTTCAGATGCGAACCAACCAATCCAGAGCCTGTGCCCCCAGCCACCTTCTCTGGGCTTCTCAGATTCCCCACCACTAACCACCTGCCCTAATCACCCCAGGGCCAGATACCAGATAATGAGGGACCGCCCCATGCCCCAGAGCCCACTGAGAACATTGGAATTAGCCAATCCAGAACCTGCTTAGCCCCCTGGCCGCTTCTTTCTGCAAACAATAAAGGTTCTTGCCCACGGTTTCCCCTCCCCTGCTCTGCCTCCTGACTGACCCATGCTTCCCTGCATGCCGCTTGTTTCTAGGACCTGGAAGGAAACCTTTCGTGACCCTCCCTTCTGTGTCTGTGTCTTGCTGATTAATCAAATCCTGGGTGCCCTGAAAACATAAGGACAATCATGTCCTCTGGCAGGCCTGCTCTGGAGACCACACATGACCACAGTGGCAGAGACCCAGCCCAGAGAGGATGCACACAACCCCTGGCATTTCTTGGAACTGAGGGCTTCTTCCCTGAGCAGGCTGTCCACCCCTCCCCGTCCCTGCCTCCCTCTTGCGCCTTCCACCCAAGTCCTCCCAGCAACCCTGAAGCTCCCCCCTCTGCAGGCTAAGCTGGCATGTCTTACCAGTGGCTGAAGCAGGGAATGCCAGGAGCAGACAGGGCACCCACAGCTGGACCCTGGACCCACTTCTTAACACTGTCCCCATGCTCCTCACAACTAACTGGGGGAAGTGGTGGAAGGTATAAGAAGGCCCTGCCCTTTGGCACAACCAATCTCTAAAGGGTTATGTTATAAAAACCTCAGTGGCCCTACGCATCTGGCTGGTGGCCAGCCCTAAGACCCAGTACCCAGGTGGGGGAAGGAGGGCTCAGAGGGTGCACTGCAGGGGCGTGGGTGATGCGATATTTCGTGAGGGGGGCGGGAAGGGGCGGGCAGGCGGGGGGAAGGGTAAGAGTCTGGGCTTTGGAGCTCTGCAGCCCTGGGCTCAAATTCCAGCTCTCCTGGTTCAGTGAGCTCCACCAGACCCTGTGCGCTCATTACAAGAGACACACGCCACTGATCTGAGGGAGTGGTGGCCAGTGACTGGGCTGAAGTTCCGAGGGAGCCCATGGCTCGGGGCAGAGCTGGTGTCCAGTCCTGCTGGCCAAGGGGGTGCCTGAGCCCTGATGTTGGATGGAGGGAACTGAAGGTGATGCTCTTTGTTGTTGTTGTTTTAAAATTGAGATTAAATTTATATAACATGCAATTAACTATTTTAAAGTATATAAATCGGTGGCACTTAAGTGTATTTGCAATTTTATGCAATTACCACATCTCTCTAGTTACAAAACTCTTTCATTGCCTCAGCAAAATATCCCATACCTGTTCAATAATCGCTCCCATTGCTACGCGACCCCATCCCCTGATAACCTGATAACCATTCGTCTGCTTTCTGCCTCCCCGGATTTTACCTACTCAGGATATAGCACATAATAATAACCAGGCAATATGTGACCCTTTGTGGCTGGCTTCCTTCACTTCGCGTAATGTTTCTGAGGTTCAATCAAGTTGTAGCACATATCAGTCCTTTGGTCCCATTTTATGGTCGAATAATAATATTTCACTGTATGGCTATATCACAATTTGTTTTTCCATTCATTCAATGATGGGCATTTGGGTGGTTTCTACCTTTTGATTATTCTGAGTAATACTGCTACAGATACCCATGTACAAGTTTCTGTGAGTTCCTATGTTTTCATTTCTCTTGGCTACATACACTTAGGAATGGCCTTGTGGTCACCTGGTAATTCTGTGTTTAATGTCTTGAAGGGCCGGCAAACTCTTTTCCATTGTGGCTGGCTGATACCCTTGTAAAGCCTCAGGGCCTTGGGCCTAGGTGGCCCTGCCACGGGGCCCCAGGACTGAGGATGCCCAGGGTGTGTTTTGGGCGTGATTTTCTCATGTCCGCGCCCTCTCTTGAGGCTCCTCAAGTAACAGGGCAGAAGCAGGGCACTGCCCTCAAGAGGCCCTCGGGCTCCTGGCGGGAGGATCTGAGGTCTGCAGGTAGAGAGAGTGGAGGAAGAGGAGCAGGAAGCTTCTTATTCACAACTCAAATCCTACTCTGCATCCCAGAATGACGTGATTTAAGGGCCAGACCTCCTGCGTTCAAATCCCGGCCCTGCCGAGCACTGGCTGTGTGACTTTGTACCCAGAGCCCTGGGTCTGGTTTTGTCGTCTGGGAAACAGTGATGATTCTAGGAAGCACCTCACGGGGTCTCAGGTTACATGTGTGAAAACACAAGACACGGAACCAGAGCCACTGGACGTCTGTTCTTGCCTCAGGCCAGGCGTCTGTCAGGGTGTCTGTCTCTCTGGGACAGCCTCTACCCCAAATAAAGGCAGGACTCACCTCTGGGCCTTAGTGTCGGGAGCACGGCTGGCGGGGAGTTGGGATGGTGGGGGGGATGTGTGGGGAGTGCGGGGCACTGGCAAATATTTACTGATTCGAACAGAAGTGCTGGCTCAGTGAGGAGCTGGGTGAGGGTCATGCCTAGACAAGATGCCAGATTCTCTCCTGGGGTTCCAGCTGGCACTCAGAGCTGGAGGGGCCCAGGATCAAACTTCCCTCCCGGATTGTCTCTGGCAGGCTTCCAGGTGGGGTCCATCCCTCTCCCTGCAGCTTGATCCATAGGTACATGCAGGAGAGCACGAGCAAGGACGGGAGAGAGACAGAGACAGGGACAGAGAGACAGAGAGAAAGACACTGAAACGGGGAACCAAGCAGAGTAAGATACCACTACACACCCACTACAATTAATCAACGGTAGAAGACTAAGACCAAGTGTTGACAAGGCTATGGAGCAATCAGAACCCTCATAAGTGGCTGGTGGGGGCACAAACATGGTACAGTCACTTTGGAAGACAGGTTGGCATTTTCTTTAAAAGTTAAACATGCACTTGCCATATAACCCAGCAATTCCACTCTCAGCTATTTCCCCCAAAGAAGTGAAAACACTGGGTGCGTGGGTGGCTCAGTCGGTTAAGCATCTGCCTTCGGCTCAGGTCATGATCCTGGGGTCCTGGGGTCCTGGGGTCGAGCCCCCGCATCGCATTGCATCTCGGGCTCCTTGCTCAGTGGGGAGCCTGCTTCTCCGTCTCCCCCTGCCCCTCTCCCCTGCTCGTGTGTGCTCTCTCTCTCAAAGAAATAAAATCTTTTTTAAAAAAGAAATGAAAACATATGTGCACACAAAGACCTGTCTGAAAATGTTCACAGCAACTTTAATAAAGCCAAAAAATAGACGTCCATTAATTGGTGAATGGAAAAAAATGTAGCATACCATATATGACATACTACTTTGCAACAAAAGGAAACCACTGGTTGAATCTCAGAAACATTATGGTAAATGACAGAAACCAGTAATAAATGATTCCGTTTCTATGACATTCTAGAAAAGGCAAACTATAGCAATAGAAAGCAGTTTGGTGGCTGTGTGGGACCAGGGTCGGGGCAGTGATTGACTGCAAAGGGGCACGAAGGAACTCTTTGGAGTTTAGAAACATTCTAAAACTTGAGGGATGCCTGGATGACTCAGTCAGTTGAGCGTCTGCCTTCGGCTCAGGTCATGGTCCCAGGGTCCTGGGATGGAGTCCTGCATCGGGCTCCCTGTTTGGCGGGAAGCCTGCTTCTCCCTCTGCCTGCCGCTCCCCCTGCTTGTGCTCACTCTGACAAATAAATAAAATCTTAAAAAAAGAGAAACATTCTAAAACTTGATGTGATGGTGGTTGTATGTCTCATATATTTAGCCAACTTTGTGAAACTGTACACCTAAAGGAATTAAATTGTATGTAAATTATTCCACAATAAAACTGTTTAAAAAATAAGATGACTAAAAAACTAATACTGGGAACCCACTTTTGGAAAGTATATTGTGCATCTGAAGGACTGAAAAACATACAGAGGCATGCATGCAGTGGGTGCTCAATAAATGCTTTCAGGATGCAGGAGAAGCATTATGCACCAGTCAGTGTCCCCTAAAAGGAAAGCCCCTTCCCTCTCCCTAGTTCAAGACGGCCCAGGCTTAAGGTTACCCTTGTCTGCCATCTGGTGGCCAGTCTCCATCCTTCAGACCCCACTTCCGGAGGCTCTGTGGTTAGGCTTACAGGCAGTGGAGGGAAGGAAGGGGGCTTTCCTCCTGGAAAATCTAGTGCCTGAGAGGGCAAGTTGGTCAGAGGCAGGGGCACAGCAGGACTCCTAGGTCTATGAGAAGAAGGAGGCTGTAGCCTCTTAGAGAAAAAGTGCTTTGATAGAGCAAACAGGCTGTGAACACAATTTGGTATGTCTGCACGCTGAGATCAAATACTGTGTAAGAGAGGGTTTCCTTTGCGGGGGTGGGGGGGTTGGATAAGGTGAGGGAAGGAAAAGTTTAGGGGAGGCAATGGGGTAAGCAGGAAAACTGATCATGTGGATGCCCACGGTGAGTTGGGGGAAGGTCAGCAGAGGGTGGGGGGATGGTTGACAAGGAGTATTCCAAAAGGAAAGAGGAGATCTCCTTGGATGGAGAGACGTTTGGAACCAAGGAGAAAAGAGTCTCTTCTCCTGGACTTTCTGGTCTCCCAATCCTACTTCCAGGGAACATCTCACAGATAAACATCTGTATTGATGTGCAGCAATTGTGTAAAGTTTGCCCTCCCCCACCCCCAGCCGTGTCACAGAACCACTGAAAATAAAGGCAGACTTCAGGAGGTGGGTGGCTGAGGGACCCATCTGGCTCTCCTGGCCACTGAACAGCTCGCCCAGGCTCCAGGGGCCCATGGACAAGCTCAGTCTTCTTACAAAAAATGGAGTCGGTCACCTTGTGTGACACAGGTAAGTGACTGGGTGGGTGTTTAAATGTCAGTGGTAGATGACATTTCGTCTAGGGGACAATGGGTGGGGACGGGGACTTCTACATCCTCAGTAGTTGGTGGCCTCGGTGGCCAAGATCTCGGAGCTCCTGGGTTCCTGGCATCCAGATTTTCTACTGGCTCTGTACAAATATGGGAGCACGTGGGGCTTGCTGAGAGCCAGGTGTGGGTAACACTTCCCAAAGCACCCTCCTTCAAAGGGAGAGGAGAGGGAGGGTGGGGGTGGGGGAGAGGGGAGGAAGAGGGGACGGGGCCTGAGGCTCGGTGCGGTGTGAATTTCCACCAGGGTTTGCCAATGGGGGGATTCACTGAGTGCGTCTAACATGAGAGGACCTATGGGGGCTTGGCAACTAACAAGATGCGGTAGGTTCTTAGTAAATGCTGGCTGGCTGGCTGGCAGAACGAATGAATGGCTAAGGGAAGGAAGGAAAAGCTCCTGGCTCCTCAGTGCATGTGTGTGGGTATATCCGGCAGACCCCCACCTGCACTCGAGCCCTCCCTCCCCGGCCCTTCCACCCCAGACACAGGAAGCTACAGCTCTGTGTGCTTCCCCTCCGCCTCCATTAGCTCCCGTGTCTTCTGGGGTAGGGTCTTCGTCCAGAACTGAAGCCTCTGGGCCTTCAGGGCCCGGCCCACTGCAGGCTGCGTGTTCAGCTGCAGGTACTGCTCTTCCTGGTCGAACACGGGCCAGTGGGGCAGACCCTCGCCGTTGGGGTCCCTGTAGACATGCCCACCCAGCAGGGCAGGGGGAGAGTCACTCGGAGCCCTGCTGAGCCCAGACCTGGCACCCCAACTGGGGTCAGGCGAGGTGCCAAACAGGCCAGGTGGCCTTGGGGAATGACAGGGGGATGCTTCTAGATTTAGGAAAGAAACTACCTCCCACTAGAGTGTCACCAGGAGGCAGGGCAACCTGGACTGCTTCTTCCCTTCCCGTCAGAGGGAGGCTCTGTGGGTAACATAGCACTGTCCCCCTCTTCCAGGTCACCTGGAGATGGACGGAGCGCCCAGCACCCACAAGGCCCCTCCCTGTCTGTGTGGGACCTGGAGCTGGGGAAGGAGCCACCATGCAATTAAGGATACATGTACGCTAATGAGGTCACAACAGAAAAGGGGGGCCCGTGAATGGGTTCAAGCCCCCCCCAGCCCTGGAGGTTGGGGTGGGGTGTGACATCTCACCCATTTCGAGCAAAGTTAGCCCAGTATTTCATCATCTTCCTGCTCAACAGCTTTTCTTCCTCCGTGACTTCAACTACAGAGAGCAAGAGGAAGAGGGTCCAGGTGAAGGCCAACCCCAGTTCAGCACACAGGTCAGCCCCCACCACACTCGCCAGCCCACGTGCAACTTTTCCTTGGGCCCTCTTCTGCCCTCCCTGGCCTGGCTCTCTGCCCACTCCCCGCCCCAGCCCTGGGGCGCCAGGCCCTCTCCTCGCCCCAACAAGGCTCATTCCTGACCGAGAAGGCTCTCTCCTTCCTCCTGACACCGGAAAGTGATTTAAGAAACAAATATGCCTGCGAAACACCCTCCTCTGCACCCATGCCAGGCATCCATGGTTGGGATAGGGGGAGGTGGGGGGAGCACAGGCCCCATTCTGAAGAGTCTTGGAGTCCAATTCTAGCTCAGCCTCTCTAACTGTAAGATCTTGGGCACCTGGTCCCATCCTCTCTCTGAGCCTTGGTTTGCTCATCTGTCACCCTCACGGAGGGACCCAGGCAAGGCCCCGTCCCCCATTCTGGGAACGAGGAGTCTCTGAGGGACCCCTCCCAGGAACACTCACCGTAGCCTCTCCAAGAGAGGGTTCCGAAGACAAAGAATACCTCATCACCATGGTCTGCCCTCACATGGGGCGGCCTGATGTCCTTGAGGAAGCTGGGCCGATGCTGGAACTCGTAGAAGTAGACCGGGGCGTGTAAGCCTAGGGGGTGGGGTGGACAGGCCATGACATGGTGGTCCCTTACCTGGGGCTCTCCTGCATCACCCGTGGTGACAAGATAGCTAGGTCCAAAGCTGGTTGGAATCTGAACAATGGGTGAGGGAGCCCCTGGCTGGAGTAAGAGCAGGGGGAAGGACCTGGGTTCAAATCATGACCTCGGAACTTCCTAGCTGTGTGGTTTTGGGCAAGTCACTGAAGGTCCTCATCTGTAAAATGGGGAAAATGTCCGTCTCTTAGACTAGCTTTGAGGATTTACTGAGATGAGGGACATCAAGTGCTTGGCACCTAAGGACCCAATATATAGACATGGGTTGGGACCTGGACACCAATAGACCTCACCAGGGACCTATAGCTCTGAGCTGCCCCCTCACTGCTCTGGCCTTATAGATTTACTCACGCTGAAAATTGGCTACTTGGAGTGTAGGGATCACGAAGATGCAGTCCCCCATCATCTCAGAGAACTGGGCTCGGAGGGTCTGTGGGTCCCCACTGTCCCCCATGTACTCCTCCATCCACAGGTCAACAGACTCAGGAGGCAACATCTACCCCAGGGGGATCAGAAATAGTCAGGTTAGGCAGGCTGGCAGCAGCAGGGAGGCAGCAGGGTCAGGTTTGGGGAGATGGATTCTGGGGCGGTATAGGGAATGGGAGGAAGGGGCTGAGCTCTGGGGTGACCCCAGCCTTTGCTCGTGGGAGATACTGCATGGACAAGATATCTTGGGGCTGGGTTTTCCCTTGCCTCTGGACAGGAGAAGAGTCCCCCTCCATTGGGGCAGGACCCCAGAAGCCTCACCAACGTTGTCGACACTTGCTGCAGGATAGCCTTCACTGTCTCTCTGTCCATTTCCTTCTGGGTGTCAGAGATTTTCATGGTCTGGGTAGCGGGAGAATCTCCAGGTGAGGGTAGGATGGGCCTAGAGCTCTGATGCCCTGAGCCCTGGCCCCACCACCCCCGTGGGCCCCCGGCACCTGGGAGCTTGGGGGTGGGCCTCACCGAGGGGATGAGCCAGCTGTATTCATCGTTGTTGACACCAATGATGCTGGGGACAGGTTGAAAGTCAGCGGAGGCCAGAAGCTCCTGGGGGTGCCTGGGCAGGAAGGTCCCATCCACTACGCCAGGGGTGATCATGAAGGGCTGAGAGGGCCCACGAAGTGAGGTCCCAGACATTTCCTGATGCGCTCTGAGTCCCATTCACCCGCTCCCAGCTCATCCAGGATGCTCACACCCCCTCCCCCAAGAGGTCCTGCCATTGGCTTAGCATGGCCTGGCCTCAACTTTCCACCCAGGGCTGTGAGGACACCAAGGTGTGGAGATGGAGTAACTTGCCCAGAGAATGTAAAGCACAGGCTCCCCACCCCTACTAGTCCCCTTCTTCCATACACACGTCCATTCAGCCCAACCTGGCTGATGGCCAGAATCTCCTCTTCAGTTTTACCCCGCAGGCAGCCCACAAGGGCCTCTGAGTCAACCTGGCCACAGGCAGACAGGTTGGCCACCATCTGTAAAGAGACCAGGCAGGGGCTGGCTCATCCTTCCAAACAGGGGAGAAGGATTTGCCCAACGTCCCAGCCGGGGGCAGCTGCACCCCAAATCTCAAGGTATTAGGTGTGGATTCGGAGGTCTCAGCCAGAGGGGCTGGCCCACCTGCCTAGACCGTCCTGCCCATGACGGGGCCCCTTGTTACCCCCACTTAACAGAGTAATGGAGGCTGAGAGGTAAGAGATGAGGCAGCAGTCTGGCTTCCCACAGTTCGGGGTACTCACCATGGAGACCGCATTGGAGGAGCTGACAATGAGGCCAGGCAACAGGGCCACACCGCTCTCCATGATGGCACGATGGAAGAGTCCTTGGGACATGGGGGACACGACATGGGAGGACACGCTTGTGCCACCCGCGGACTGGCCAAAAATGGTGACAAGGCCAGGGTCTCCTCCAAAATAGGCAATATTTTGCTGGACCCAGCGTAGCGCGGCCACTTGATCCAGGTAGCCCCAGTTTCCAGGTGCATGCCTGTCTCCAGTGCTGAGAGGCGGCAAGGACAGGGATGATGGGGCTGTCCTGGCTTCATTCAGCCGGCACTGCCCTGCCTAGCCCCAGTCTCACCTGAAGAAGCCCAGCATACCCAGGCGGTACTGGATAGTGACTACCACCACATCCTCAAAGGCCGCCAGAACAGAGCCATCATACATGGAAGCCATGCCCATCACAAGCCCACCACCGTGGATCCACACCAGCACCTGGGGAAATTGAGGCACAGACACCATGTGGCTCCCACCGAGCCCAAACCCCACTGGGGCTGCTACCTGGACCCTCCACCACTTTTTTTTTTTTTAATTAAAGATTTTTTCTATTTATTTGACACAGAGAGACACAGCGAGAGAGGGAACACAAGCAGGGGGAGTGAGGGAGGGAGAAGCAGGCTTCCCGCCGAGCAGGGACTCTGGGATCGTGACCTGAGCCGAAGGCAGACGGCCAACGACTGAGCCACCCAGGCGCCCGACTCTCCACCACTTTGGCTCTGTGTGCCTAACCACACAGATAGATAGGCAGGAGTGGGTGGTGTCTTCATGACCTGGGCTGAAGGTGACCCAATTTCTATCAGGAAAACTGGGCTTCTCGTACTTTGGGTCCCACCCTGTGTACCAAAGCCTGGCTCCATTTCTCCTGGAACTCTCTCTGAGGTGAAAAGAAAAGGGGTGTCATCGCACATGCATGTTAGTTAAAAGTTTCTCCATTCTCATTGGTCCAACAGATACAGCACCTGAGTGGGTCTCCTGGGCACGAGTGGGTTGGGTGAGTCTTGGGTCCGTCCCAGGGCCACAGCTTCTGACCTCCGGGAGCAGCCAGGGTTCTATGGCCCCATGCCCGAGGGTCAGCCACTCATGCTGGGTAAGAACACTCTCTTGGCCCCAACAGTGAGAGGCTTCTTAGTAGGGTCCACACTGCAGAGGGGCCCCGGCTGATCCTGGCCCTTCTAGTCTTCTTGCAGAAGAAACGTGCTCCCACACCGCAGCCGGCGGGGCCTGGCACTCACCGGCAGACTGGAACCTTCCCGGGCGTAGGCAGGCGTGTAGACGCTGAGGTACAGGCAGTCCTCGGACATGGAGGTGACAGGCGGGGTCATACTCAGCAGTTTCAAAGCCATTGCATTCATGATAGTGATGTTCTGCAGACACCTAGCGGGGCCGTACCATGGTCAAAACCAGATCCTGGGCCCAGATTTGTGCCCCGCCACCTCCAGTCCCACTTCCCCCGAGACCTTGCTCACACACGGTCCTCCCCCAAAGCCCCTCCGCACCAAGTCACAGGCCGCAGGCTCTGGGGAAGCTGGGAGGGAGCCCCGCCTTCCAGGGAGGCCTCAAGGTTATGAAAGCCTTGGATATCAACCCTCCTGAGGCTAGGAAATCTTGACTCTTGGGGGTCTCTGTGAGAGCCGGGAGTTGCAAGTGTTGACATTCAGCTCTGTATTCCTGTACCCAGACGGGCGTGGAACAGGGGAGTAGCCCACATCCGTGGGCTGCCCGAATGAATGGGTATTAACTTCTCATGAGAAGGGCAGTGGGACAGCCCTCAGCTCCAGTCAGGCTCTCAGGCTCTCAGGGAACCTCATCTCTCCCACAGAGTTTCCAGTTGCAAGAACATACACATGCCCTTTGGCCCATGGCAGCTGGCCCTGTCACTGGCCCAGTAACTGCACACAGAGGGGGTCCTCCACTCCTCAGGGATCTATAGTACCTGCTGCTGGAGTCAAGGGCTATTACGGGGTTCATGGAGCCAACCCAAGCCTCCCCTGGGGGCAGAGAACACCTGACATGGCTAGAAGTGAGGCAGATGTGTGTCTCTGCTTTAAGTGTCAAGCCCGGAGCCTGGGCAAGTTACTTTACCCTTCCAAGTGTCTGCATGCTCATGGGAAAAATGCATGTGGGGATCCACTAAACTCAGAGGGGAGACTGGCCGTGGGGGTTTAGACGAAATGACAACTGCAGCCTGGCCTAGAACTTGGAGTACCCTCCACCCTCCACTGGAGTTCCTTGGACTCCCTGCTTACATGGCTGGGTGGGAGGTCCCATCCTTTACTCCACTCCAAGGTTCAGGAGGCTCGGGGGGTGCAAATCGCAGGGGGCCTAGAGGCGGCTTGGCAAAGGGAATTCCCAGGAAGGTGTGGACTCCCACATCAGTATCTTTCACATGGACGAGGCTCCCCCGCACCTGCCCAGTGTGTGTGGTCCGGATGGGGCTGGCAGAGTCCTGGCCTGTGAGCAGAGAAATGGACATCAGGGTTGAGTCTATCCATCAGCTGCCCTCCCAGGCTATTGAAGTTGCCGGCTGCTTCTGGTCCCCAGCTGAAGGGACTCTGATCTACAAACACTTGCTTTACAAATTTCCTGCCTTTAACCCTGTGTGTCCACAGTACCCCAACCCACTCCCGCCCACTCCCCCAACTCTCTTCGCTGGATCTGGCCCCAGCCTTTTCCACCACACTCAGTGAGGCTTCCTGGGACCCAGCACCATCGTTGAGCCCTGGGAGCTTCAAACAAATGGTCACATAAGCTTGAAGGGGTGAGAGTATCCTTTCTGCTGACTGTGTGGATCACATGAGGCAGTAGGAGAACTGTGGGAATAGGACACGCAAGGCTCCTGTCCCTAGGGATCTCATGCTCTAAGTGGCAAGAAATGACATAAAGAAAGCATCTTTCAAACCAAGAGTGATGATATGGTGAGGAGAGCTACGAAAATGAGGTACCACTGTAACTAGACGGTAAGAAGTACCGCCCGCCCTACTATGGGGATCGGGGGGGGGGAGGAAGCGACTGAGGGTCGCCTAACACAAGGAGCCCAGGTGAGATTCTTAACACACAAGAATTTCTACAAATGAAAAAGAAGTGTGCCAGTTGTGCATATTTGGTGAATAACTATGAAATGGTGAGGGAATACGTTCAGAGTAAGGAATACAAAAAATGGCTCATACGCCAAGGAAGAAATGTTCACTTCACTCATGCTAAGAGAAAGGCTCGCTGAAATCTGACTGTGATGTTAACAACTTACTTTGTCACAAAAAGTCAGATGATGTATGTTTTCTGATGGAAGTCCATAGCCCCACATGAAATAGTCTTGCCCCGAAACATAACAAGGCAGAACCTGAAATTGAAATCTGATCAAGCCTCTAGAATACAAATAAATGAACACAAGCATACAGGCATACTGGGGGCAGGGAAACAGTTAAAAGACACCATACGGATGTAATCAGCAAAGCCCAAACTCTGGGATCCTCTCCAGAACAACTAAACTGGTTTCTTCGATATAAAAACAAAATTACAAGGAAAATAAAAGAGAGGCAGAGGAAGACCGAAGACTCAAAGAGATTCACATAAAAAAGGCTGATAATAACACACATTGGTAAAGATGTAGAAAAACTGGAACCTTCACACCTTGCTGGTGAGAAGGTAAAGTGGTGCAGGTGTTTTGGAAAGCAATCTGGCAGTTTTTCAAAAAGTTAAACATAGAGTTATCATGCAACCCAGCAATTCTACTTCTAGGTATAAGCCCAAGAGAACTGAAAACATCCATCCACGCAAAAACCTGCACGTGAATGCTCATAGCAGGATTATTTATAATAGCCAAAAAGTGGAAACAATCCAAATGTCCATCAACTGATAAAATGTATCCCACCTGTACAATGGAACATCATTCAGCATACAGAGAAAAAAGTACTGAACACGTCGACATGGATGAACCTTAAAAACCTTATGCTCAATTAAAGAAGTCCGTCACAAAGGATCACATATGGGATGATTTCATTTATAGGAAATGCCCAGAACTGGCATATCCATAGAGACATAAAGCAGATTGGTGGTTGCCTAGGGCTCAAGGTGGGGGGAAGGAGGAATTGATGTGCTGAACTTTTGAATATACTAAAAACCATTGAATTGTATACTTTAAACAGGTGAATGGTATGCTATGTGGATTATATTGCAAAGCTGTTATAAGCAACACATCTACCAATTTTCAAAGTATGGACCTTATTTGAATCCTGATTATAAAAAAAAAAACCCTGTTAGTATCATCTATGAGATAATATGAAATAAGAACATTTGGCTAGATACTTGATTGCATTAAGAAATCATGATATTGTTATATGTATATATATATTCCTTTTCTCTTAATAGGACATAGAAATATCTACAGATGATATAATGTCTGGGATTTGCTTCAAATAATGGTGCAAGGGAGAGGTGGTAGTCTAGACAACACCAGGTTGCTCAGGTCTTGATAATCATTGAAGGTACGTCATGGATTCAGTGGGTGTGTTATAGTGTTCTACCACAGACCGGAAACCCTTTGGTGCTGTGTGGCTGCGGGCAGCGCCGACCCTCTCTACCCCTCGGGGTGCAGGGAGGTAAGCAGTCAGGCTCCCAGTTCCCCTGGTGTCATCTCCACCAGCTCCTGCCTGCCTGGAGCTTTCCTTCCACAGGTTCAGGTTCTGCTTCTACAGAATTTGGCCTAACTGAGCCTGGTTCATAATAAAAAGTAAAAAACAAAACCAAAAAACAGCCTCAGGGATCTATACTACCTACAGATCAGAGACAACAGGGCATGAGGGACCTTGAGGTGGACCCAGAAACTGAGTCCTGAAAGCAAGGAAGAGCTCTCAGGATGGGCAGTCCCACCTCCCTGCCCTTGCTCATACGGTTCCCTTCACCCTGAACAAAGGTCGTTCCCATTTCTACACCTGGGGGAATCCTGATCGTGCACCTCCTCACGGAAGCTCTCCCGGGTTCCCCAATCACAGCTTATTGCTCCCGCTCTCCAGCCCCGAACACCCTTATCAGGCCTGTGACCATGAGGACAGTGAACACAGTGACTCCAGTTTTGAGGAGAGGGTTGTTGGTATTGTGGAGGGGCTGCAGAAGCCTCGCCGCCCCTTCTGAGGAAGCCCAAGGGGGTCTGGGCAGAGGGGAAGTGGCCATGCAGTGCCTGCCTGTCACTGGTTTTTGCCTGTTCAGTCCCACTCCCCTGCCAGACCCACCTTTCCCTTCCCAGCTCGCCTGCCTATTCCCTGCTCAGATCACCTACTGGATCAACACTGATGCACATGAGCCTGATGCCAGAGCGTGTGGATAAGGCCGGGGTCAGCAGCCACTCACAGGTTCCACCGAGGGCAACTAAGCAATGTCTTCCCAAGTCAAAGGCCCACCCCTCCCCCCAGTAACATGCTGTCTACACAGGTGGGACATCTGTCCATGTAATTCACTATGGCCACTGGCCTCCAATGCCTGAAGATTGTTATGGCAAAGGACACAACCTGTTGAAATGTCCCTGATCAGAGGCCAGTTACATCAAGGATGCTTCCTCTTTGAAGAGAAACCCTTGCAGGAAACGGTATGAGGAAGCTCTAGCATGTACAGCTGTGGGGAGGTCACCCCCTGTGTCAGGAAGTGAAAAAGCTGTGTGCCAGAAAAGGAGGGAGTTTGTGATCATTTAGGTGAAAACCAAGGATGTGTGCATCCTGTGTGCATCCTCAGGAGTAAATTCCTGAGCAGTGTGTAGAAGGCCCTGGGGATCCTAATGGTCCCTGTGAAGGAGCCAGGATGGGATGGGACAGGAGAGGGTCAGACATTATCACCTGTGCCCTCTTACGGCTTGTCCATTTTTTCTTTTTGAATGTAGGTCCAATCTGAAACATTAACATTTTTTAAAGGGAGGTATCAGCAAGGCCTAGCAAATTGTCCTGCTGGAGGCTCTCGGTGACCTCTGAGAGCCTGGTGAGCAGCTGGGAAGGGCGGAAGCCTCTTGGGGTGGGCCATGTGAAACGGATTAATGTTGATGCCTCCAGGGCACATCGGACTGGGAAGGGGGAGGATAGCTGGGTCTCACAGGTAGGGCCATTTGGGGTGAGAGGATCACACAGTTAAGAGGGGGCAAAGGAGCTGCGGAGGCCCCATGCATGGTTCCAGAATAGCCTACGCTACTGGTAACAGCCAGGAGAAATGGAAGTTGGCCCGAAGTGCAATCACCTTTGCTCTGGAGAACAAAAGGTGACCTCACCCCAGCCGGATGCATGAGGTGAATAGAAAGATATGACAATCTCTCCAACAGACAGGCTTTAGGATGCAGGGGTGTGGGCTTGCGCAGTCAGATTCCTCAAGAGCCAGTAATCATGACTTGGGCCCCTTTGGAGGGGCACTTGGCAGGTGCTGGGACGCCCCTCTGGCCAAGGGCGCAACACTCAGAGCCAAACCGTGGCAGGAAGATAATTATTATTTTTCGCAGGCAGCGCTAGCTCTACCACAAACACTAAGAAGGAAACGTCCTGAATCATGACCCCACTCCCGCCTGCCTCGCCAGGTGCCCCTCAGAGCTCCTGGCCTCGCTTGCCCCTCCGTACTGTGTGACCTCGGTCAGCCACGACTCTCTCTGCACCTCAGGGGGCCCAGCCAGGGGTTTCGAAGCATTGGGTCTGGTGCAAGTTTCCCCCTACTGTGGTTCTCCACCCTAATCCACCTCCCTGGGGCCTTCCCTCCTGCAGCCTCAGGTCCTGTCTCTGCAGAATCTGGCAAATCCCATCCCAGTCCTTGCCGCGCCTCGAAAGAGCCTCACCCTGGCCCAGGACGAGGAAAAGCAGGAGCCCACAGACCACGGCGTTCAGCCGCACGCGAAGTCGGTCCAGCAGCATGGTCTATTCGCAGCACACTGCTGTTTTCACCCAAAGACTGCCCTGGTGCCCATCCAGCGGCGGTTCAGAGAGTGTCTCAACCAGGTCTGGAGTTTGGACTTGTCTAGGAGTAGGCGGGGCTAGCTGGGCAGGGAAAGCGCGGGGGGGGCGGGGGGCGGACTGAACAGCAAAAACCAGTGACAGGCAGGCACTGCATGGCCACTTCCCCTCTGCCCAGACCCCCTTGGGCTTCCTCAGAAGGGGCGGCGAGGCTTCTGCAGCCCCTCCACAATACCAACAACCCTCTCCTCAAAACTGGAGTCACTGTGTTCACTGTCCTCATGGTCACAGGCCTGATAAGGGTGTTCAGGGCTAGAGAAAAGGAGCAATAAGCTGTGATTGCCGAACCCGGGAGAGCTTCCGTGAGGAGGTGCACGATCAGGATTCCCCCAGATGTAGAAATGGGAACGACCTTTGTTCAGGGTGAAGGGAACCGTATGAGCAAGGGCAGGGAGGTGGGACTGCCCATCCTGAGAGCTCTTCCTTGCTTTCAGGACTCAGTTTCTGGGTCCACCTCAAGGTCCCTCATGCCTTATTTTCCTTAATCTGAGGGTCTCCGCGGGCCTCCTCCCTATTCAGCCACAGCCTGCCTTTTGAAATGCACCCATGACTGTGGCATTATCTTTTTTTTTTTTCAGGTTTTTATTTATTTATTTATTTATTTGAGAGAGAGCACATGAGAGGGGGGAGGGTCAGAGGGAGAAGCACACTCCCTGCTGAGCAGGGAGCCCGATGTGGGACTCGATCCAGGGACTCCAGGACCATGACCTGAGCCGAAGGCAGTCGCTTAGCCAACTGAGCGACCCAGGCGCCCGTCTGTGGCATTATCTTAAGGACAACGGCAAAGATCGCAAAGATCGGTCATTTATCTATTTGACAAACATTTAAGGAGCGCTTGCGGGTCCGTGTGCTAGGGACTCGGCAGGGCACTCTGGGGCCCACGTGGAACGGGCGAGGCAGGTGCGTCACCGGGTGGCTCCGAAAAGCAGTAAACGGTGCCAGGACAGAGGACGCTTGGTACGCGGGGACCTGCCCAGCCTGAGGGCCGACTTCCTGGAGGAAGTGGTGCCCGAAGATACGCCTGGCCGGTCTTTAGTGTCCCCGAGAGCCAGCCGTGGCCTCCGCCGTCCAGCACCTAACTTACGGGCTCCAACGGCCCCGTGCCGCTCGAGTGCCTTCTCTGTGTATTCGCCGGGGTGGTCTGCATTTTTCCGGGTTAACGTACAGACGGCACCGAGGCCACCGCTCCCCTTCAAAACCCAGGTCGAGTAGGGCGGTGCAGCATGTCCCACAAGCGACCCCGTCGCCACGCCCCGCCCCGCCCCCTGCCCGTTCCCCGGAAGTGCTCCTGCGGGAGCGGAAGTGCGCGCCTACAGCAGCCGGCGCGGTTTCGGGATGGTGGGCGGCGGCGGCGCTGTAGGGAGCGGCCTCCTGGAGAACGCTAACCCCCTCATCTACGAGCGCTCTGGGGAGCGACCGGTGACTGCGGGCGAGGAGGACGAGCAGGTTCCAGACAGCATCGACGCGCGCGAGATCTTCGATATCCACCGCTGCCGCACGCGGGCGGGTTCGCGGGGGCCTGGGAGGGGGCTGAAGTGATGATGTCCAGTAGTTAGTGGCGCTGTATCAGGGCCGGGCATTCCCGGCGGAGGGTTCTGAGTGGGCTAAGGCAGAGTCCCTTTTCCTTCACTTGCCACATCTGATTCGCTCCATTAATGACCCGGAGCATCCACTGACACTGGAAGAATTGAACGTAGTAGAGCAAGTCCGGGTTCAGGTGAGTCACTGCCAGCGTCCGTGGGGGGCAGATGGTTCGGAAGAGTCAGAAAAGCTCATCTGCACCAGGAGACTGGCGTTCTGTCAGCTCACGGAGTCGTCAGGGGATCCTCGGAAGGGGGGGGATTGCTGTGCCCGTTTCGTGGATAAGGAAACAGGCCCCTAGAGGTTAGACGATTTGCCTGAAGCAACATACTAAGAGGAAGGGAGTGCCTTCTGAGATCTCATTCTTCAACTAGGTGAGCGATCCTGAGAGCACGGTGGCCGTGGCCTTCACACCCACCATTCCACACTGCAGCATGGCCACCCTTATTGGCCTATCCATCAAAGTCAAGCTTCTTCGATCCCTTCCCCAGCGTTTTAAGGTAAATTGGAACTGAGCCCCAGGGGTAGGACAGGGGTGAGCTTCTGCTTCTGAGGAAGACATGGAGAGCATGAATGTGGACATCAGAGTGAGGCCTGCAAGGATCCCACGTAGTGGTGATGAAACTGGGAGGAGCCTTTCCAATTGAATGGGACAACAAATATAAAGGCCTGTGCTGGAAAGTGCAGAAAAGTAGTGAGTGTGGCAGGAGGGGAGTAGGAAGCTGTAGATAGATTTGGAGCATGGATGGGGCAGAGGCAGGCCTTTAAGTCAACAGTAGCAGTCAGTTCTTTGGGTAGAGATGGAGTGGCTGTGGGTGGGTTTGGGGCATAATGGAAGGTCCAGAGTCCACAGTCATGATTAGGAGGACCAGTGGAAGGTGATGAGTGGGGGGAAGGGGACGAGGGGGTAGATAGGTGATAACTCCTCACACCCCACCTATCTCCCTCCCAGATGGATGTGCACATTACACCGGGGACCCATGCCTCGGAGCATGCAGGTAAGTGTGGGCTGATGTTGAGGCATTGGCCCTGAGGCTTCCCCCTTGCCATGGTGGTTTGTAGGGCAAGATGGAAGGAGGAGGGCTGGGTGGGTGAGTCCTCAGTGGAGGTGGCAGCCTAGAGTGAAGCTGGCTTAAGTGTCCTATGCTTACCATGTTCTTCCAATCCTGCCCTCTCCCTCTAAGTACACAGGACCAGGGTGTGTCAGACTTAATAGTACAAGGGGCAGCAGGTGGTTTGGGTAGCTTGGTCGAGGCTTGGGGTCCTGGGAAGGAGGTGACAGGAGGTTGGTGCAAGTGTGTATGTATATATACAAGGGTTAGAAGTGGGGCTGGTTGGCAGGCTGGCCAGAGCCTGGCTTTGATCCTTCTCCATTACTTTCCAATCCAGTGAACAAGCAGCTTGCAGATAAGGAACGGGTAGCAGCCGCCCTAGAGAATACCCACCTGCTGGAGGTTGTGAACCAGTGCCTGTCAGCCCGCTCCTGAGCCTGGCTTCTTGCCCCCAGTCACACCCAGGGCTCATGGCCTTGTTTTCTTGAATCACTGACAATGAGAAACTAACATTTTGCATTTTGTAATAAACCCTTAATTTATATTCATTTCCCAGTGTGTCTCAGAATCTTTCATCTTGGGTCATCCCGGGGTTTGGGAGGAGATGGTAATCGTGAGTACAAGTTCCTATACCGGCTGGAATGATGAGATACAGTGCATTTTTAAAATTTCTTCCAATGGTTTCATCAGGAAAAGTTGCAAGTATACAAAAAAATTGAGAGTAGTGAACACACCTGTATATCCATCATCTATATTCAACAGTTGTTAACATGTTGCAACATTGGTCTGATTTATGTGTGTATGTATAATATAAATGTATTTAAGAGTAAACTGTAGACACATGAGCCTTCACTTCCTAAGTACTTCATCCTGGTCTCCTAAGAGTAAACCTGTATAACCATAGTACTCTTACCTGGCCAAAAAATGAAAAATTCTCTAACATCATCTAATATACAATCGTTTATAAATTTCCCCAAAATATCATTCATAGTTTTTTTTTTTTTTTCCTTTTCTTTAAATCAGGCTTTGGGGCACCTGTGTGTCTTAGTCAGTTAAGCATTCGACTCTTGGGGCACCTGGGTGGCTCAGTCGTTAAGCGTCTGCCTTTGGCTCAGGTCATGATCCCAGGGTCCTGGGCTCGAGCCCCGCATCGGGCTCCCTGCTCCGCGGGAAGCCTGCTTCTCCCTCTCCCGCTCCCCCTGCTTGTGTTCCCTCTCTCGCTGTGTCTCT